GGCCGCCCCGCCACACTCCCCACCCCTCATCTTCAGCCCGGGTGCCAAGTCAGAGCCGTGCGGAACCCACCTCTTCAGTGTTTCCAGGGTCTGCCAGCCACCCCCTTACTTCTCCCTCCCCTCAACAAAATTAACTAACTTCCCCTGGGCCCTCCTCCTCCCTGTGACCCATGACCCTAGTCCGTGTAGGATACAGACTCCTCACTGCCCCCTGACTTTTCTCCACCTGTCTAAACTCCCTCCCCCCCGCCCGCCCCCGCCCCCCTAGCCTACCTGGAGAAACTTTGGGTTTCTTTGGGTTCCAGCTACACTCCTCTCCAGGTACGTCGCTACAACGACTCCACATTTAAAGCCTCAAAGATGCCAAACTCCACTGTATGCACAAGCTGCGGGATCCAAAGATTCAGTCAGTGTCTGTTTTGGGTTTTGGTTTGGTTTGTTTGCTTGTTTTGCTTTGTTTTTTGTTTTTGACATACTGTAGCCTAGAACTCAATGGAGCAAGCTTCCGGTGAACACCAACCTTGTGCTGTACAGGAGATGCTCCTGTCGCTCTCCCATCATGACAGGTGCCACAGAGGGAAGGCACAACAATGCCAGGCTCTACTCCCAAGCAGGATTCCAAGCGGCTTCTGGATCCTGTTTGCAGCTGCTCAGCAGTGAATCCAGGACCTGGAGTCTGAGGCAGCTATCCTTTCCACCTTTGTCTTTGCCTCACACCAGAGTCCACTGGAGTGGGTTAAAGAAAGACAGGTGAGGCCAACTTGGTGTCATCCCCCACCAAATAGCCCATCATTGCAGAAAAATGAGCTCATTCACATTTACTCAGAGATGGCCGGAGACCCTCTGCCTTGCTTCACTGAACCAGAGTTTGTTTGGCCAACATCCTCACCAAGGCTACCTGAACCAAGTGCCCCAGCTAGCCTTCTCATGCTCCCTCTGGGAGGCCAGACTTCTCCCCCTTCTGGCCCACCCAGTGGATGATAAAGCTGTACACAGAGCATCGCCATGAAGGCCCAAGACAGTATGCTGTGTGTGCGTGGGAGGACATGTGGAAAGGGGAAGGTTTGTGGGTACCCTGGGCTTTGTGACAGATGGAACCAGAGGAGCAGTCATGTCTCATCCCACCCCCTCCACTGCATTCTCCAGTGAGTGGGGAGGATACCTAGCTGGGTGCCTGCCACTTGGCTGAGTTTTCATCCCTCATTGATTATTCACCCACCATAGGGCTCCAGGCAACTCCTCCCCCTTTTCAGATCCATACCCTCTGCTCACCAGTGTATGGCCCTACCTCCCAAATGTGCACTAGGAAGTTCTCCCTCCCACTCCTGAAATCATAGTTGTAGGTTCAAGAATGTCCACTCAATGCCCAGCCTTGACCCTACTTGGACTGGTTTGATAAACAAAAGCAGAGAACTAGGCAAAAGCCAGAGAAGCACAGAGAAGAGGTTGGAGCAGATGGGAGTGATGCTGACACAGGAGTGCTAGGAGGCCCCCCAAAACTGGAAGAGACTAGGAAGGGTTCTCCCCATAGCCTTTGGAGTGCACAGCTCCATTCACCCTTGATTGAGACTTCTGGCCACCAGAACCTCAAAGTAACAAGTTTCTGTTGTTTGAAACAACCATTTGTGTTAGCATCTGTAGGAAACTAATATTGCCACTTACTGGAAATCTTTTCAGAGATGCTGTGTTTTTATAGAAATATTTTCAAACAGAATTTTCAACACTTAACTTAGTTTTGTTTCGTTTTTGAGACACAGCTTCTCTATATAGCTTTGGAGCATGTCCTGGAACTCGCTCTATAGGCCAAGCTGACCTCAAACTTACAGAGATCCACATGCCTCTGCCTCACAAGTTCTGGGACTAAAGGCGTGAGCCGCCGCCACCACCACCACCACCACCACCATGGACCACAGTGGTACATTCGATTGGCCTAACTGACTCCACTGGCTCTGACAGGTACGTGGCTGCTCTGGAGGCAGATGAAGAGAACTGATGCAGATAAGGAAAGTCTCCTGGGGGGGGGGGAGGCAGAGGAGAAGCTTTACCAACTGCAAGGCAGAGCGAAGCTGTTCAAGGGGGCTGAGATGGCTCCAGCTCAGCCTGGGGACAGAGGCAGAGGTCCTTTCCTGTGGCAATTTTCCTGAACAAGAGGAGATAAGGTTGGTGTGTCTGACACATTTACAGTCCCAGAAGAGGGAAGTATATTTGGTGTGCTCAGTGAGTACACAGGCTTGATTTTCTGTCTTTTGCTGCCCGTGTGTCCATGTGCTCCTGATCTACTTTGGTGAGTTTGTAAGTGACAACTTTTACTTTCAGGGATAAGTCATTCGTCGGTCCCGACCTCATGTTTCATGCTGGGCAGCTGTGGTTGTTTCACAAACAAGATAGAGTCACTCTGCCCTCATCACGGACACTCAAAGTGGAGTCAATGAGGCTTTTTAAAATGGAGTCACTCAAGCTGCATCTGACCTGAAAGCCTCCTCCCTGAGGACTAGCTTCCATGGTCCCAGACAGTACCTTGTAAGCTTCCAAAGGAGGGAAGCAATTATATATATATAGATATATAGATATATAGATATCCAGCTATGCTGCCCATGAACTGTAACAATGACCAGCATGGCATTAAAACCCTTAGGGTTGCAATAGTGGCACAGGTACCTTGATAGTAACCAACAGGTTCTACTCAACAAGAGAGATCTCATACCTGATACGGAAACCTACTCAGCTACCCAGGGCTAGTGAAGTCATGTATCTTGGAGAGTCTACGATCCCCACTTTACTAAACTAGCATGATCTCTAACTATATTCTAAATATTTATCCTTGAGCCCCCAGATAAATGTAGTCCTCAGCCCTCATCAAGGAAACTTCTCTTTGCAACCAACAGATACCATTATAGGAAACCACAACTGATCAGAATGTAGAGTTGTGGAGTCAGGTCCTAACCAATGCATCTACAACACAATTCCTACACGTATGGCTCGTGGATCATTGTGGAATAGGGACAAAAAGATTCTAAGAGCCAGAGAATCGGGAAGTTTGCTGTGAGACTGTGTCTCCTAAGAATGTCAGAAGCTACACCCATATGAGACTTACCATCATGGCTGCCTAAACGTGAGCTGAACCAGGACAATGAGCTGAACAGGGACAAAAACAACAGACATGCCAAAATGGATGGAGGGAAGTCCATGAGGACTCAACCCTAGATAAAGAACTTAGGAGAACTAAGGAATGCTGAGAGCAGGAGAAACAGTCTTCCCCAGGGAAGAGCATGTCAATTTGTTAGCACAACCAAATATCAAATGATCAGCCCTGAAATTGTATATGTACAAATAACATTATACAGACAAGCAGGTTATATTTATATATTTACACACACACACACACACACACACACACACACACGATTGGTCAGTACAGAGTAACAGAAGAGGCTGCAGCTGACCACCACAGAATGATCTAAGTAACTGGCAGCCCTTCTGTCTGTGTGTGAGAGAATAAACTGCCTCTGTCTAGTACCTGAGCAAATGCTTTGGCCTCATTGCCCTGTCATTTGTGCCCTCTCTCTCTCTCTCTCTCTCTCTCTCTCTCTCTCTCTCTCTCTCTGTGTGTGTGTGTGTGTGTGTGTGTGTGTGTGTTTGTGTCTGTCTGTCTGTCTGTCTGTCTGTCTGTCTCTCTCTCTCTCTCTCTGGCATCTCAGCTGGCACCATTCGTTTATGGACATTTCTATAATCCAGACTATGTCCAGACTGATGTGAAAATCTCTATTGCACTGTTTCCTGTCGCAGATTGTCCCATATCTGCCCCACAGTTCTTTAGCCAGCCTCCTGTCATTGTGCCTGGTGAATGGACTTTCTCCTTGGCAGTCACATTCAAGCCTGTGAGGATGATCCATGCTTCTTTACATATGTGACATACCTGTTCCATGAATTCTTAGAAGTGGAACTGGGACCAGGTGGTGGTGGCACGTCAAGCCTTTAATCCCAGCACTCAGGAGGCAGGGGGAGGCAGCTGTCTGAGTTCAAGGCCAGCCTGGTCTACAAAGTGAGTTCCAGGACAGCCTGGGCTACACAGAGAAACTCTGTCTTGAAAAACAAAAAACAAGCAAACAAAACAAAGTGAAGTGGTGGAATTGGAAGAAGAAAAGGCACTTGGAGACTCTCTACTGCTGTCGTTCCCACACAGGCTCCCTGGCAGATCACACAACCTCAAACCTTAGAGCTAGCAGGAATGGTGCTTCATTTCTCTCACATTAGGGCTTTACTTCTCTGTTCACAGAGGAAAGCATTCCTCCACACTGGCATACTAACCTCAAAACCAGACTGAAGATGCAACCATTGCTGGGCACCTTGCCACACACCAAGACAGAGAGAATGTGAGCACATCATCCCATTACCATTTCCTTCTCCAATCCATGTCACCTGCACACACCTGAACACACACTCTAAACACATACACAAAACACACACAAAGGAATAAGAACAAAATAATTTAAAAATGAAGATTCATTACCTGCATCAGGTAAGGAGAATATGGGTATTATTTCTAAAGCAATTCCCTCCTCAACAGAGGCAAAGCGATTTTTATCAGGGCAGTTTATATGTTCCTACAGAAAAGCACCGTGGAGACAGGCATATTTCTGGGCATGCTCACTTTAAAGTCATATAGTTCAAGAAGGAAATGTGAGACACTTGGTACACACCTTTGGCATTGGAGAGGCCGAGGCAAGAGGATTCAAAATTCAAGACTAGTTTTGAGGATTTTATACACTAAACGTTGTTAGTGTTCCTTAGTGGCAGGCAAAGGGCTGGAGAGATG